TTTTGTAATTTCAATCGATATTTTTAGCAGACTTTCAAATTTAAGCGCCTTCTCGTTTCGTAACTTTTAATTTAATTCTTTTAATTTCCTTAGATCTTCGTTAAAATATTTCTCGCTTCTGGCGCCAACTTATGGGATGACCTAATATGTGATACTTCAACTTTTTTTTAAATAGTTGACGCTACTGTACGTAGCAATTAAAACATTGTAAGGTAAAGCTTACGAGGATCGTTCAATAGGTAAGCAGACGAAGAGGTCTAGCTAAAAAGGTATCTAAATAGTGAATAAGACACTTTGAAAATCATAAGTTAGCCAGTTGACAACTATTTCAGTAATGAAAGAAAAAAATAAAAAGTTGAGAAAAATTAGGCCGCCGCGTCGGCCTCGTAAGTTCAGATTCTCTTTTTATTTGGGCGCCTCGAGGAATCAAGTTTCGTGGCAACCAAGAAGTGAAAATCCATGTGCAAAACTAACTTAAACAACAAGACAAAAAATTCTTTCCTGCTAGGATAAGCGTAATTGTAGCAAAGGATTACGTCGATAAATAGTTCAATTACGAGATTCATCGAATAAACCATATTAAAACTCTTTATTTACTGAACGACTTATTTACAGAAGTTTCGATTACTTTATTAAAAATGAAACAAGAAAATCTTCTCAATATAATATTGAAATAGTTCAAATACAGCGTAATCTAGAGTAATCATGCGGGCGAGACCCGCCATTTTCGTTCGCGGAATTAATAGGTCTAACACGACGTGTTAAGACGTACGTGTTTTATTATACAATTTGTAAATCCGCAATAACGTTGTACACACATATGTACAGAATAATAGAAAATAAAAAAGTTAGAATAGATTGTACGACTATTTCGAGGTGTCTTCGGTTATTGACGTTTGCCGGTGATAACCGTTTTACGGGTGAAAGTTCGGCCTCCACGCATCGAGGAACGCGATATAGAAGGTGAAACGGGAGTACGCGTGAAATGCCCGCGAAATTCGATCCCGACGTAAACCGACCTTCTGCTTCAGTTATTACCTTATCGGTGAACCAGTGGTAGATACCTAATGAGTTTTCGATTATCTTTTCGGCGCGTGCACTGTAACGTGCCGATTGCACGTTTTAACGTGACTCATTCGATCGATAAAAGTACGTGTTTTTCTTACGGTTCCATGGAACGAGCGGTAATGAGCGCAGAAAAATCTAGGATGCGTCAGAACCAGTCGAAGGATCGTTCGTTCTTCTTGGTCCAACGTTACGCAGATACACAGTGTGAGATAGAAAGGAAGAAAAAAAAAAAGCAGAAGATTCGAAGGAGAAGAAGAGATTGGTGTTTGCAATTTTGAGCACGGCCTTCCTTAGGGCCGACCGTCTAAGCTCCTCCGCCAGGATATTACCTTCAAAATCTAATTATGAGATTTTTATAGGGCTATCGTAAAACGGCCGAATAATAGTTCGCAACTCTCCTCCAGAGAGAGAGAGAGATGGCTAGAGGGTCGAGATAATGGGGAATAGCACGACCAACCCCCTCGAAAAAGAAACACTGACGCACTGTCAAGGACGTTCTCGAGCTACCACCTAATCAAATCCTCTGTCCAATATAATTAGGCGTTCATTCTGCAGGAATGTTAATTACAGAACCGAAGCTAACACCTCTCTCTGACATCGACAGTGTCCATGTCACATGAACGGTAGATACATCTAAGTAACTATCTCTCGAGTGCTCATTCCTCTTCACTAGAAATTGGCGAGACTTTGGTGAACGATACCCTCC